TTCATTCTTTACTTCCTCACTTTTCGGAAACTGTGCCAGATTTTTAACGAAATTTGCCCATTACTGTGGAATTGAATGGAAAGTTCCCCCGTGGATAGACTACCCGTAGAGGACGAATATCGCATTCGTTTAGCGCGAAAACTTCCTGACGCCCGCGCCACAGACGCCCAGAAGGCGCAGGGAAACCTGGATCAGCAAATTTTCTTAACTTCTGATGAGTTAGACCCGTAGAACACAAATATCACATCAGTCGGTTGCGAGTGAGCCTGTAAAGTGCGTTAGGGACGCTGCACTAGGACTGCGCTATATTGATGTGATAGCGCCAGCGCCTTAGCGCGGATGCCAGACGTTTTCGCGCTAAACCGATACGATATTCGTGTTCTACGGGTCGAATTACCCCGAGGCAAGTTTCTAGCCAAATCCACAGTCATGGACAAATTTCGATAAAAATCCGGCTCAGTTCTCGAGGAGTGGGGCAGTAAAGGGTAAACAGTGCCAGGAGTTGATGCTCAACTTCCAGTGGACATCAAAGGAATGTAATGGGGGTTGTTGCCTCCTTGAACTTTCAGCGGTGTTGTCCTTGATCATTTTTCACTACACCATTTTCCCTGGAAATCGATTACACAGAACTGATTCCGAATTGCATTTTCCCAACCATTGATGTATTGTGCCTGTGAATGGGATGTTATCAAAGGGTTCCATCAATGGGCAGGAAAAAGAAGCAGAAACTCGTGGTGTGGCAAGAAGTGTTCTATTAGCAGAAAACAAAACGCATCACCGGGAGTATAAGAAGATATATAATCAGAACGGTGGATGGTCTTCGACAGTATCGAAATGTGAACAAAAAGAGCTCAGAACTTGATCTAGAACTTTCGTGGTAGGTGCTGTTGACGTAGTTATGGACATAAAGAGTTAAGTGACCCTAATGATCCTTTTAGAAGATGCCGCGTACAGGATTTCGTGGTGCATCCGCAGAAGCATTTGAGAGCAGAAGCTGCGATAACAACAGACCAATAAAGAAAACTATATTTAAATATCTAATATTTATGAGAGTCAAAGTTGTTTTTTTCATAGTTTTTGTCCTCCGGTACTGACATCCTTGGAGCGATGTTTGATGAACTTATGACAGATGAGTGAGAGATGAGACAGTGAGTGTAAGAAGCTACAGCTAATCTACCCTTTTTTACCAAGTTTTAAACCCAACGAACTTCTCAATGTCTCTGACAGTGCAACGATATACACCGCTGAGCGGAGATGGCAACAGGTATTGCAAAAATCTCTATGGAGCTGTTTCCGAATGGAATAAAACAAGCAGAGGAAACACAAACGGTGGAGTTGCTCACTCCACCGTTTGTATTTCCTCTGCTCTGTCGAGTAAAGTTCTTACAATAAGATGAAAAAAGAAAAGAAAAAAAAGAAAAGAAAAGAAAAAGACAAATAGAAGTCAAAACATCATGCGGTAGCTAGCGCGAATGGAACTGACAGAGGCGGGCTCAACAGTCACATAAAAAAAAACATTAAGAAACAGAGGCGTAAGACCTTTCTGACAACAGCAAATTTCCTTGCCCCAAAAGTTATCTGACAATGTAATTAGAGGTCTATTCACATTCACAAGGCGGGGGGGCATCATGGTGCGGGTTTTTTCCAGCGAAGGCTACGTTAACCGATGCGAAGAGGGAGTGTAGGCAGCCTAAGGGGGGTGGGGGAGAGGCGCGCACTTGGACCGGCACGTGAAAAACTGAATGTTTGAGTATACAGGGTGGTCCAAAATTATGAGGACCGCGTGCGCGCGCAGTCATATCCACTTTTTTCCGTATCGCTCCATTTTCATCTCGTTTTCTGTGCACTATGTGAAAGGGTACAATGTCTTCTTCCTAATGAAACCAAATTTCATGAAGTTCTCAAAACTAGTGAAATAACTACTTCACTTTGAGTCAGTCCTCAAATTGAACTCACTAGGGGCTCTGGCACGTTACATCTAGCAGCAGTCTAACCTATCAGAGAAGCCCTTATGAGCAACAGTTCAACTCTTCAAAAGTTTGGAATCACCACAGATGGAAAATTCGGGGACTCGAAAGTTACACTTGCCACCAGGATAATTATCAGTAGCAGTGCAGAATACGAAGGTCTCCCCTTGTCGACTTTCGTACACCCAAAATGAAAAAATTGATGTGAAAACCCAGCCAGACACTCTAAAGACTCCACATCTGTAGTGGATAGAAAGCCACACGAGTAGTCTACTTAGAACTTCTTACAGGACCGAGCACCCAAGAATAAAGCAAAAATTCTCCAAAAAGCGATTTTTCGAGTTCGTTGCTTTCGAAGAATTGTTACAATGGAACCATCCACCTAATAGCTCTAGATTTCTGTATTTCACACCCTGGATGCAAGCGCAAATAAATGCAACACAAAAGTTTGATTCCCTGAAGAAGGCAGAGCAGAAGGCCTGGAAACATTTGGACACGCCTTAGTTGCGTGCCACCGCACGCGCCATCCCCCTCATCCGAAGGCTCGTGTTAACGGGGGAAGTGGCAGATCTCAATTCTATTCTGGAATTACTTTGAGGTAAGAGTTACAAATACTTCCCAGAAGTTGGTTTGTTCCATCAAGCTACTATGCGTTTTTAACGACACAATGTCTTGGTCCTCATTCTTTTGGACCACCCTGTACTTAGAGGAAGTGGTTATGATAAAGAGAGCGCATCGGAAAAGCATGTGC